TGATGCGGTCGAGGACATAATAAAAGCACTTGGCCTCATCGTTCAACTTGTCGATGCTCTGTTGCACTGCTGCCTGAAATTGAAGTGTCTTAAGTTCTTCAGGTGACATGTCCGACGGTTGGCTAGTCAGCAGATCCGGATCCCCGCTGCAGTTAATGAGTATTTCTCCGTCTTCGTTAAAGTCTGTATAAGCATCCCTGGGGTTCTTGAATGAAATGTAGTGCTTTGGCTCTTTCCACACTTGTACCAAAGCTTCAGCAGTTACCTCTTTATTTCCATCAACGTCTGTGAAGCAGGGCCCTCTGCAATTCTCAGAACTATCTCCAGAGTAGATGGGTTTCACCACCAGTGTCATGACGTATTTCATGCCTGCGACAACCTGCTGTTTGGCTTCCTTAACGTAGACAAGTTGGAAATTGTGGCACTCATTTGCGTCATCTAGCTTTTTCAAGACCTCGGCAAGGGCTTCCTGGAACATGCTATCATTCATGCCCTCTCTTGACATAGTTGACTGGCCACCGACGATTCTTCTCTCGCTGTATCGACCTAGGTCTTGGTCATCGGATTCGCGGTCTGCTAGCTTGCAGCCAAACGAGACTGCTGTCAAGTAGGTGAGCAGTAGTACAGTCAACCACTTCATGTCGGTGCCTCCGAGAGACTGATAATCTAAATGTATTTATATAAACACCATGAACCTACTTCATATTTGGTTTGATTATCTGAGCGAACACGCAGTGGCCACGTGGTACTAGCCAACAGTGCTATGCCATCACTTTGAATTTGTGTGCAAAACTTAACCAAAATCTCCACTTATCATTCAGGAAAATAAATTTCAAATGCGAATACGAGCGATTAGCTTCACCTCGCAGAAGTTATGGTAATGCAATTTTTATATCTTAACACAGTAGACCAAAAATCAGACTGTTTACGTCAATAAATTTTGTATTTAACAGCACATAATGCCGACTTCTAAAAGGGAATTTTATTATTTTATCAGTTTATTTGAATCATTTTAGAAAAGTGAGTCTTTAGTAATTTCATGTTCTTTAATTCTTCGTAAATACTAAAATGCCTTTTCAAACCTCATTCTTCTTGCCATTATCAATAGCTTGTTTTTCCATCTCAATTCATTTTCGTTATAGATTCCCTGTCACGTTGAATGATTAATCAGGGGAAAAAAGCTAAACTATTCTTTTCTTCCCATCAGTTGAAAGTGCTATGATCAAAGTCCCAAAGCCTAAGTGTCCTAAAATGTCATTTTAAGACCCAGAGTGCACTACAAGTTAACAACCCCCTTTGTCTCAATTTTAAATCCACTATGTTTGCTATTTCGCCTACATAAAAAAATCTTGCACATTTCTAAATTACGCGATTCCCAAGGAGCACGATAAGTTAAACACATTTTGTAACAAAGAAAACTACTGAAATATCTTTCACTGCTAAAAGTTGTGAAATTGCGACAGAAACCATGGGAATCTTGATTTCCCCGCTATTTTAATTCTGATTCTTAATGAGCGTTGCTTACAATTTGCTCACTAAATAGAGGTGCTTATCTTAAACGCTATTTCAACTTCCTATAGCCGATGAGCATGCATATTTGTTGTGTACTTTTACTGTGTAGTACTTGTTGTTCACTCTGTTTATTGTGGTAATTGAATGGTTCGGGATAACACGTATGCGTTATCGAATGTTCCGACTCCTCTCTGCAGGTTTAACGTGTCAGATTCGGCTTATTAGTGGGATCGGGGCCGACGTAAATGGTTTACACCTTTATGTCGGATTGGGCTAGCAACTCAAAAAATCTAAAGCCATTCTATCACGATTACATGATCACTGAATGCATTCACTTAGATGATAAATCACACATATTCACCTCTGTGAGTTTGGCTTTCGTCTACTGGCAAAATATATGGCGGTAGATAAATATTTGGAGTGGAGGGATATGCTAAGCATATGCCTTAAAACCCTTTAATTATTAAAATAACGAAAGAGTACTGGACCTAAATGTCTTTCACTGGCATCGAGTAATCTAATCTAACCAAGACGGTATTTGAAATCGTTGGGCTACTGAAAACAGCGTCATTATCAATAACACTGTCTAAACAAATTTTAAATATTGGAAAGATTAGTGTCCAGACCAACTTTACTAAATCTTAAATCACATTTTAAGTAGTAGCATTTTGAAAACTTACTATGACTGCTTGAGTAGGACCATAAATCATGGCAAATTTTGTGTAACAGTGATGCAGAACGTCGCGGTAAGATAGCAACAAATAAGAACTGGAATGTCAACAAATTGAAAATCGTTTTACCAGCCTGAATTCGATATTGTTCATTCCTTAAATAAAAGCGACTATCGTTTCGTCAAGGTACTCTACGACACAGTTCTGTGCACATAATTTCTCTTAGCTTCACACAATTAAACAACACTACCGTTTAATTTACTTCAATAGCATGCACCTTTCGGCCTTAACATCCTACGGTAAAGCTCTTAACCTCACGTAGGATTAAAACACAAGTATTTTTAAAATATTAATTAAAAATTGATGAATTCTGTTTAATATTTTAAAGCATCCGAATAAAACTAATCCCTGTATTTCTACCAAATAGGCAACAATGTAACAAAAAAATAGAATAAAAGGAACTAATTTGCCTTATATTAAGTGGTCTGATGATTGAAACTTTTCATACCTAAACACTGCTTGTGTTGATAGGCTTTCGTTCACCCTCTGTACTTAAGTCATTTAGTTTTTTTTTAAAATAAAAGTCCGATATAGGACCATGAGGAAAGTAGTGTTTATATTGGTAAACAGTTAAGTATTACATGTGTGCATTTTAGAGAATTTTTTGCCTATTTAAAGTTAAAAATGTAAATTTTAATAGTTAGCAAACAATTTAGGGCTATTCCTATACGCAATCTTACCATAATAAGCGGTACTAAATTGTATAGAGATCAATAGCAAGAAAATTAACCAAAAATGCAACTTTTGGTATTCAACGATAGCGATATAATCCCATTCATGCCATTTGAACATACAAAAGTTCCTCTTTCAAGCTGCAACTAATGCCTGTCCCTTTATCTTAATGGGGCTCAGACTGGCTTTTAAGTTATTATAAAGTCGTAACGTGATACCAAAATCTCCGAATACACTCGAAAACACCTATTTGGCCGTCATGAAATGTACCTAAAGGCGACTATTTCTAAGATGCCTTCATGTAACTGCTACAATTAAATTCAAAACACTTCGGTATATGTGGACAGCAATTTTGATTTTAGTGATGGCCCTCAATATAGAAAGGTTGTGCTCTAGTCTTGGGAAAAATTTGCTGGTTATCGAAATTACACCTTTTTAGTTCATGGTTGTCTGCAACTTACCTCTACTCATCCACATCGTTTTCTTTCATTATTAGGAACGTTAACCCATTGGTCCATGTTGTGAATTAGGTACAAGCAAATAATAGTCATCAGCGCAGGAAAAGGTGATACGAAGTCAGATTTCCTTTGATCGGATAGTAATGTATGGATTGAAACTGGAAATGTGCACAGCTACGTGGATTATTCTCCTTAATCAAGAGTACATGGTGCTCTTTCTTTTAAATAAAAATAATTGCGCGTATAGTCTACACTACTCCACGTTTTTTAACTAAATCCAGTAATTAAAATATTTTATTACTCCTAAGCATTCGGAGGAAAGTTGTTTTAGCAGTTGTATCAGTGTATGGCTTTTTTTATACGCAAGTCGTGTGAACGACCTATTCACTAAGAACCTACTCTGTTGTAATCGTGCTTATGCACACTCCTTAATCCGGTCACTCCATCCTCCGACATAGGGTTCCCTTTTTCGCAGCATGTCGTCAGCCGCGCGGATCCTAAACTCCCTCCGCATTCGCAAGAATATTTATCTTGGATTATCCTCACACCTTGAACTCGATGTAAGCGCATCTATGACTCACACATCCGAGGTATAAATACACACGACACAACGACACCAACGTGGTTGAGCTCTGACGTACACTGTTGTGTCCACGACCTCTCGGGTCTTATTCTTCATCGTGAGTATCAGGGAAACGTAATCGGTCAAGGGTTAATTCAGTGGCCCCGGCTAGGGACCACAGCAACACTATTCACGATATAACATACTTTAATCCCAACGGCACTTTGCTAATTCAACCCATGAGTTTAGTTTATTATAATTTCAAATCGTAAAATTCATTTTCTAATTTTATGTCCAAACTACACAGACTTTGCCACTGATTACTTGGTTAGCCCAAATTAATAAATTTGTAGTTTCCCACTAGAGCAGGAAACAACCTGGTAGCAAAGCAGTGAAACATTTCGCTTGATGAATCGATAGGTGTAAATTTAAAGTATTACTACCAGATAAAACTGTCAATATTCTACCTATGATTTTTGAGAATGTGGTAGTCAAGTAGTGCTAGAAACGACCATTTGCTTCGTGTACAACTTAGGTAGTGTTCGCGTGGTATTGTTAAGTATTTTTTCCTCAAATAATTATTTACAGAAAGAATTAGGTGTTATAGAACCAACAATAATAAGCTGTATGTCGAAAATGCAAAGTAGACTAAAGCAAAACTATTTTGTCAGATTTTTATTTAAAGTAAATTTGTTGAAATTCCTCTACTCGAAAAAATGTACCTGTTGTTGAAAAGCACGTGTAGATAAGAGAAGTGACAAATGTATGAATATCGAAACTAATTTTTTATGCAAATCACTAAAAATAGTTTGTGCCTTAATTTTCAAGGCAGGTTACCTCATAATGCACAATTCAAATTGCTATGGCATTTGTAAATAAACTTGAGTTTATAAACAGGAGACACATTCAGTAATCTACAAGATCCTTGTTTGATTTTGTAGTTGCTGATCCAGTATAAATATTCAGAGGCGTTTATTAAGGTAAGGAGGAGCTCGTCATAACAAATTGAATTATAACTAATAAGTGTGGAGAAAGTTTTACCAATTATAATTTATAAAGAATGAAATATATGCATGAACAAAATTTAGACCGTTGTAGTTTTAGTGAACATGGTCTTAAAATTTATGTTTACTAATAATGGTGTCAAAAGTGAAATGCAGATAAAATGCCATACTTTGTTCAGTCGGTATTATTTTTTTAGCTAAATGTTAGATATCAAACAAATTTCTAGAAGTCCTAGTGATCGGCTAAATTCTCGCAGTTTCAAGTCATTTTTTGATATATAATGACGTTTTTTAACTTTTCTTGTTAAGTATTTTGGTTTTATTGTTAAAATTTCTTTTTTTTTGTGTTTTACTCCTTTGTGAAGGCCGCTGTGTTCCTTTCGATATTCAACTATTTACGCGTGTGGCGTATCATTACCAGTGTAAGGTGGGTTGTTCGTGACTTAAAGACCGCCTTTGAAGGAGTGAAATTCGCTTATAGTTTCAGTTGTTTCTTTTTATGGCCCAATCGTATCCACTTTCATTTGTGGTATAATTTCTAATAAAATGCCGATTTAAAGTGATGAACATTACAATGAAATATCAATCAGCAGTTAGGTCGTATTAAATTGGCCAGAATTAGTATCTGTATTACTAAATCTGTGTGTAATTACTATCCTACATTACCGCTTCCTTGTAATGTTAATGTCTGATTAAGTTGTTACCTTTTTGCAATGTATTTTCAAGTGTTACACTCGCGGACTTTGTTTCCACGCTTTACTATTTCAGCGTGATATTCGGCTTTGATGTGATGGTTAAATTGAATGACTCTTCGGCAAATGCTTTTTTCATATCAACTATCCTTTTCCTGCCGATATCTATATTGTAAGCAATTCACTATCGTCAACGAGTTGTCATCCATTATATTTTCAGCACAATGGGAAGAAATAAGCGACCTGTCACTAAAAACTTTTCTTCACGCACGAAGCACCTCTGCGCAGAGTTGATGCGGCGTGAGTTGTTATTTTGCGAACAAATTTATTCTAAACGTTTTCAGTTAATGCAACTTCCTCACGTAATTGTTCAACTATTGCATGCTGGTAAAGTTTTGCCACATTAAGTGGGATCGTTTGCGGCTTTTAGTGTGTGGCCCACAAACAGATGTCAATAATAAATTGGAACACTTTCAAGACCTCCATAAAATTACTACAGAGCTATGCGAACTTCAGAGGGGTAGGTTTTTCCCCTGCTTCAATGGTTTTCGTTTAGATATGGCCATTACTCACACTCTGTTGTCCGGGGATCGTGCCTCACGTCTTAAAATCCTTCGTGAGCATTATAAGCAGTATCTCGATTTGGCTGTATCGATATGCGAACACAGTGGAACCGGTTTTGGTTTACAAGCTGACAGCTTAATTGAAGTATGATCGTCTCTTATGAATTATCTGTATTTATTTTTAGAAAAACAATTGTATTCTTCGTATTCCTTTGAAGTGCTTGTTTTCGGCTGACCATGCGAACGTGCAAATGCGTACGTCTGTACTGCCCAATCAATTTGATATGATTTTCTATAGCCTCATTTCTGAAGAAGGATCCCCTCTACTCGGGCATGGATAATGTCGCACTTGGTTTAGCTCTGCTTCATGAGTTGTCACTTGTAGAGAAATCAACGTGGAAAGATTATTTTTGTAAAAAATGTCGCATACATAACTTGTTTTTAAGTATCATTGCCTGTTACCTATTCAACTGTTGCTTATTTCTCCGATCATGAGTTTGTTCTTCTTGATGGTTTTCCCGCTGCTGGTACGTTTTACTTCTTTTTTATTTTCGTTCACTATAATTTAACTTACTTCTTCCAGAGCTAAAATCGCCAAATCTTGGTTTAAGCAGTTTCTGCGTTATTTAGAATACTCCTAAAGCTCTTTTGGGTTTTGATGACCAACCCTAACCACACTCTTAAATGTAGAACTTTCCGTCTACCTTGCTGGACTAGACTCCTTGATACAAATACTATCTTGTAGGTCTGGGACAGATTTTTCTTAATAAGTCTCGGATGATTTGTTCGGTTTCTGCGTTATTTTTCATGTCCAACCACGACAAAACGTTCTTGCGCGTAACTTTTGCTTGGCTGTGGACGGCAATTTGTGCAAGCACCGTTTCGGGGTTGCACACAGTGAAACTACGCAGTTATTGAGTATTCGTGAAGAAAATTCGCGTTCTCATTCATTTGGTCATATATAAACTACCAGAAATATTAAAAGGCATCCACGGTATGGGACGTTAAACATACATTTATGAGCATATTTAACTGAAATTCTGAAACAACTTTGTTTGGTCTTGTTATTGAAGAGACGCCATAGCAAGCGTTTTGAAAGTGTGAGATTTGTTTGGTGAAAAGTTGCTCTAAGATTCTTGCAACTTCAAACACTCCACAGTTCAAAACATTTGAGTTTCTGAACTAGCTTTTAAAGTCCTGTGCCTGCAAATTTTAATCATATGCGATCATATTGGGAGCAACTACAGTCTCCCAGCATTTTTTCACATTTTTCAGAGTTTGTTTCCACTGCTTTTAGACGTAATTCTTAATGTCTACAGAAATATTTGCCGACAATATGCTTATTTATATCTGCTCTTTGAACAAATGGGACAGCGAGAATTACTGCCAGCTTACATGAGAACGTTTTGTTTTGAAGACTACCGGTATGTCTCAGTGCTCATGTTTAAAATTCTTGTTGCAACGTACTGCTACAGCGATGTCTGTTGGTTTTTTTTTAGGTGGGCTATTTCCACTGTCATGAGCCGAAACAACGCCCTGCCGTCGAGTGGTGGTGATGAAAAATTTCTGTTCCTGGTTCCTCTTTGGGATATGATTAATCACAAATTGGGTCAAGTATGCAATTTTCGTTAATTCGAATTACTGTATTTATGTGCAATGATTTTCCGTGTTTGACGTCTCTGTATCGGGCTTTTAAATGCCCGTGTAGAAACGGTTTCTCGTTCAATCGCTTGTTTTAAAGCACTGTTGAAGTAGAAGCCAGTTTCTAAGTTTTTAAGAGTTTAACTTTCACTATTAGGGTGCTTTCGTTTATGCCTACGCATTTTGCACCGTATATTCGCCTAAATTTTAACCCTATTATCAGTTACAAATGTAAATCAGATGCTTTAATAAGAAACTACTAGTTTTCCGCCCTTATATTACGTAGTCATGTTTCCCTAACTAGTGATGAGCGGTCAAATCAGGACCTAAACTGAAGAGCTAGTGAAGGTCGCAGCCTTTAGCGTTACATTTAACGGCTCTTTTAGTGAAAACGTTTTTACTGGGTTGACTTTACTGTCACCTCTCACTCATGGATTGTGGTAACCCTTTTCAAGGCGTGGAATTTGTGTATTTGAGAACCATCATTACCGTGTCCGTGTTTTTCTCGCTATTCATTAAATTGGACAACACGGTCATTGGTCGTTCCGTCCATGTTTTCAATTATTTTACCTTTCGCTATTGCATTGTTTTCACCGGCTAGGTTACCACTGACTATGATCCCGTTACAGAACACATCCTTTTTTATGCCATGGAAACCTACCAACCCGGAGATGAAGTGAGTCCACTACGTCTTTCATTGCTTCGTCAAATAAATATCTTAATACGCCTTTTGTTTAGATTTTCATGGATTACGGCAAACGCACAAGCACCGAGTTCCTGATCTACAATGGATTTGTTCCGGAAATGAACCCATATCACAAAGTTCCAATAAAGCTTAGTAGGCAGTTTTACCAACTTTATTTCAGCTTAACAAGACAAAATGAGTGATGGGTTGGCCTTTTCTTTCTTTGCTTATACTATTTTAAGTAGTTTATTTGTCAAATGGTTCTTTATTTGTTTTAGGTCTTAGTAAGTTCGACAGCCTAGTGGTCCTGCGGAAGCAAGTTCTTGAAAAGCTTGGAATAGAGACGTGAGTGAGCCAAATTACTTGACATCTCTTTCATTCTCAGTGAAATATGCCCATTAGTTTCTGCACTGGATGCCGCGTTTCCTCCACCTTCGATGGCGGCTTTTGCCCGCGTTAGTGTCATGACTGAGGGTGAGTTCGGCTATGATTTGCTGCATTCTCTAGTGTGGACGCTTTTTATAAACGCCTTGGGTTGTAAGTGAGAGCTGCTTCAGATCTCTTAGTTGTAATATCCTAAGAGCGCTCTCTAGCAATGTGTCATTTTCCTGGGCCCAGTTTCGAGCAGAAATGACTTAATATTCCAGTCTATGATATCAAGCTCAAATATAAATCTTGGGCTTCTTGTTGTTCCATATTTCAAGTATCGTTTCCATGCACTTGTGTCTTCCAGTGTTTCTCTTTGAGCCCTAACCATCCTATTTTCGTTTTATTCGTACGTTTCGCCACGTCGAATTTGTACATCAGTTTTGGGCTTGCGTGACACTTTTGTCTCCTGCACCGCTCCTCCACGAAAACCGGTGGTCCGTTTTGAGTCGCCATTTTAGAAATATTTACTTCTGTGTTGAAGGTACCGGCATGTGGTCTTGTTCCCCACGCCGGAGCTGCTAAGTGTAATATGGTCCTTTTACGAGCAGGCAAGTTAAAGACCAAAGATGGCACAGACACAACTGTTTGCTAGATGGCTCAACCTAGTTGTGTGTGGGTGCATGCACTCACAGTAATGCATGCGTAATGTGGTTATTTATCAATACTTAGGGTGACCTAGTCAACGTATAAGTAGCAGGTAGTGGAGGCACACGCACCGAAGTGTGAGACCAGACGCTCCCGCATGGCTGAAATGGAGTGTGTCGAAGACTGCAGCAGCGATTAATGGACGTGGACGAATTAGGACTCATTGCAGCTCTATGTCCTGCCTCTTTGTAGCTGAGTTGGTCGATGTAGTTGATGATTTGACGTCTTCCGGTGGTGATCCTCATTCCGCCCACCCCTTGTTTTCAACCGTCTTTTCAACCAATCGCGTTGATGAGGAGGCCAGGAAATATGTTGAAGGCCGTCTTCATCTGCTTATCCGTGGATATGAATGTCGTCTTGAGAAAAGATTGGAGTCTGTAAGTTATTTTGCGAATTTTAGATGTTTTTTTTCTTTCAACTACTTTTACTGTTTTATTTTTGGCTAATTGCCTGACTATTCACCCTGAACTACACGTACTACTGTTTATTTATAGGTAACAGATACAAGCCCAATGTTTGGCCACTGCGTCCGGCTGTGTCGTCACGATATTAGTGCTCTCAAGGAGTGCCTTGCTGTATTTTCTCGGTTCTATTCTTGAACTACACCTTTGTTTCTTATTTTATTGACTCATGCTCACTAGTCCCCATTTTAATCTCGCTTTGTCCGGAATTCTCTTGTATACTTGTTTATAATTGAGTATTTTTCCTGCCTCTCGCAAATATTAAAGATACATTCTACCAACTCTTGCGATTGCATGCTTCTGTATTTGTATGATTGCTCTTTCCCAATTGTGACATTTGTATTTAATCTCCTTTTTATTTCGTCCTATCTGGCAATCTGAGGGTAGTGCTGGCAACGGAAGTTGAAGATTTACTTCAAGTTCAGAAGTACTTGTTCTACTTGATCATCCAAAAATTATCACAAATAATGTAAATTTTGTTAGCTTAAAAATGGTCTTAGATTCCTTTGTCTAAGAAATGCATCTATCTTTAATGGCCGTAGAAAAGTGGCGACTTTGTGTTTTGGCTTTCTTCATCGAAATTGACCAAAATACGTGGTAGTGGGTGCAGTCAGTCATGTTTGGCGACGGGTCCAGGGTGCTTCGTTAACGTGGCACTATGTGTTATCTCGTGGACCAAACACGATCTCACCGTTTACGTAGTGTTGAAATGGATTTTTACCGCAAAAAAGGCTGCTTCGACATTTGGGCGTCCCGCACGGTGACGGGTGGCAGGACCCTCGCTCACATTTTGGCATGCGAATCCTTACCGCTAAGCCAATAAACCCAATTTCCCAAGCGAATGGCAACGAATGGCTATGACTTGGTCTTGGGAGAAAACACTGGTGTGGTAAATTTGGAGGATCCGAGTTGTTCGAAAGGTCCGTGAATTGACTGCACCCGACGAAGAAGCTGGTGTCTGGGCTTGGTGGAATCACGAGCACGTGCCGTGGTAAAAACTCACCGGTGAGCCAACCAGCCATTTTTGGGGACCACCGTTCCTGGGTCCACAAAGTAAATTGAGCTGGGCTCGCCATCGTCGATACCCCACGCCAATTTACCTCACAAAACCGCTTTCGTTGACTTCGATTGTCATCACGTTGTTTTGGTTCATCTTCCATGTTTACCCGGTGTAACGCATTCAGGCCTTCGCCTGCGTCATGTAGAAGTGTTTAAGGGACTTGCAGAAGCTGTCAGGAGTCATTTTGACTGATTTTAGCCAATTTGACTCATTTCAGTGAGTGAAGTATGAATTTTCATGGAATCTCTTTATTACGTTCTCTCTTTTTACCAAAAGTCGAGTTGGTTAAATCTTCATGATTTGTATTGATTGAAGCTTCTTAAATTAACAAATTGTGTATTGTTGCCGAATGTTATTTCCAGGCGCAATACTTTGGTTTGCATGAATTTTGAAGGTTTTAATTCGTCAGCTGGTTGATCACGTACGAACTGCTATTGGCTTCCAGCGACTCGCTTAAACTTGACCGCCGAAAGTTGGTTGTGGTGTGTACTGTTTATTTTGTGCAAAGTGCGGGCCATTTGTCCTTTTAAGTGATTAACGCGTGTTAATACCAGATGTGCGCCACACTTGCGACCCTAGAGGCTTCGCTGGGTTATCTTCAGTTCTTAACCAATTTTCGTTCATAAATTTTTCCTGAAACACTACTTACTACTTTATTCCAAATAACCAGTTACTAAATTTACATTTTCAGCTCCTACCTTATATCTTATTTTGCCAGTTACTTATAAGTTGTCACGATCTACCATATGTTGAGTTTAGTATTGCCAATTACAATTTTTCTGTATCTTGAATCTTCCCAGTGTTCTTGTGACGTTGTCGCTGTCCTGCCACTGAAATTATGGGTTTTAGGTGCTTGCGCTGATGACTTTTTACTGAGACATTGAGTGCTGCATCAACAGTTCTGGGGTGATAAGTTATTCCTCTAAATTGTAATTAGTGCTTGTTGAGCAGAATGCTTTCTTTTCGGTGTTGCCATAAATCTTGTTCGAAATTCTAAAGTATGTGGAAACATCGTATCGTCGAAATATGATTAATTAATGGATCTTATTACTTTTAATAATGAGTAGCCTTTCAGTTTTTGACGTTTCAGTTGGGCAATGGAGGCTATCACCGGCTTGATTCAAAAAGGGCTTTTCGGCGGCGCTTTTCAAATTAGTTTGCCCTCGTCCGCACAAGATGTTAGGTTTGTTTCTTGCTGTCGTTTAATTTTCTCCCCTTGTCAAGCAATATGCCACTAACCCCATTGACTGTTATTTGAGCTTCGGCCTATGACCGGGTAGTCACAGCTATGGTCTCCACGTGGATTCAACCTGCTTGCCGTTGTCATGTCATTTTGCCTTAAGATATCTGAAACCAATATACCTTGAACTAGAAGAGTGATATTTAGACGTCGTTATGACAGGTTGCCTCTCAACTTAAAAAAAACAGTCAAAGGTAAATCCCCTGACACTTGAGTCTATCCTAAGTTAATTACAAATTCCTCTTTCCGTACACTTCTGCGCATTAGAACTTATTTCCTACCGAATTACTCGTCCTCTGGCCGACGGTGTCATAACTTTTGTATTAAGGCGTCATATTGTCACGAAACTCGCATTACCGCTTGAACAAGGTGGTAAGTAAATGTGTAGTTGCATTGGATCACTGTAGGAATCTTCAAGATTTTACCACAGAATCGTTGAACTTTGTCCCATGAAAGCCAACGTGTGTGACTGCCACTTCCTTGTGACAAAAGATATATATTTTGGATAGCTCGAGCACCTTCGCTCAGTCACCTCACCCTTCACCATATCAATACTTACCTCCATTGACAGCTTTCTCTAGGAATAAAAGATCGTAGCTTTTTCATTGGATTGCGTATGCGAAGGGTGTCAATTCCGTTAATGTAACTCCCAAGCTAACGCGGAAAAAGTCAGCGTATGATAAGCTCAGTGATTGAAAAGTAAAGCCAAACATCGCTTTGATTTTTCGTGAGTGGGTTCCCTTGCTGTCTTTAACTGGGTCATGGTCTTCGGTATTAATCATGGTGAGACGTCGAATCTACCATTAACTATATATTTTAATGCTAAGCTTCATCACTTGACGAGCCGTTCCTTAATTCTATTCATTAGAGGCTCAAGTCATTTACTTTGGAAGTGCTCAAGATTCTTGCTTCATATTTAGTCGCTGTTGTATAGAGGATACAACGCTAAGTGCTGTTATTCATAAAAATGCTTAATTACCGCACCACTTCCACTTGTCCTGTGGTTATTCTCTCGCACTATACAGCATGTGAAGGTCACATGAAAGCCTGTGGTCAGATTTCGAAACTTCTTCACATTTCGTTCCTTATGTACGTCTATTTGGGTAGACTAATTCACACGCCTTGAATGCCATAAAGCCGGTGTCTGAGCCTGAACATTCACCGCCGGGCGCTTAACTGCATAAGTGTGTTTTTACGCCGTGCGGGATCAGGGTGTAGCTTTTAACGTCTTACTTTCGTTTAGCCTGTTCCGTCAAGTGCCGGACAATCAAGAGGTTTTCGTCAATCCTTCTAACGAACAGAGCATCACCATAGACATTCTTGAGGCAGTTACTCCGAATGATCTTGCCGCAGCTGTGGTGTAAGTGTTTGTATTCTTTTTGAAGCTTTCTTGTTCTACCACGTGAAATATTGAGAGGAGATGCCGACACATTATGCGCTAATCGCAACTTATTGCCACTTTTTTTCTATTTAACAACTGAATTTAAGACCTTCCTAGAAGTGTACATCTTATTTAAGCACATGGCGTGCGTCCACAACTTGCGCTGCGAAAGTCTTTCATTCTTCGTTTTTTTACCTGCACAACATCTTTGATTGTCTATGCGTTCAACTAGCAGTACTCGGCTTGTTAAATTCTGAGGGTATTGTAAACGACCGCTTCAAATGGAATAAATTGCTTGGTTGATGACCCATAGCAGTAGAAAACGAGCTGCAGCACGCCCAATCGTGTCAAGCTTTAAAGCACGCCTGATGCATTTCGAATAGTCACGTTGTTTGTCTTTCATCCAATAGCGTTTTTTTATCAAAAAAACGTCTTCTGATCTTTTTTCTAGTCTAAACTGTTTTAAATTCGTCTCTTCCACATTGCTATAATCGAAACAAAAATTGAACGAATGACTGGTTCTTCAAGCATCCATTTTTTTCAGATCGTATTCCATCGTCGATTTCAGTTGAATAATTAAACTTTACCCATCACGTGATGTGAATGTGTCCGTCAAGACAAGCCGTATTGTAAATTTGTTCTTTGGGTCCAGTCCTTTAACCACTACCGTCGGTGCGAACTCAGAAGATTCATACTTGTTTCTTTTTAGAGCCCATTTTGAAGACACTGTTGAGTGTAATTCCGCATCTAGCTCAGCCGTTGAATCAATTGAAGTTCAAAGTAATCCTGAGTAAGAAAGAAATTGTGTCCATTTTACTGCCTCATTCCATGCGTATTTAAATGACAATATGGTACGCATTTCGCCGGAATTTCGTTAGTATTTCATGGCTGTTCAGACCTCGTGCTGTAGCGTAAACCTCAGTCAGTTATTCTCACCGGGTTCTCACGTCAACATTCACTTGAAGTCGACGATATAAGTTTTTCAATTTATTTCGCGCATCTTTCTTCATAGTTTTATGTTGTGCGCCTGTGTTGGACTAAAATCCGCTATTGAAGACTGATTAAGTTTGACAATCACGTTGAGGCCACAGGTTGTTGAAGTTTGGATGTGATGCACATATGTTCCACTGCGAATGAAAAGACAAGTGACAATAGGAGTGGACCGTTCACTAGGTGGCTCGGCTAAATGTGGCCTTTGTACAAGATTGCGTCTACTTAGTATGCAGGCGTGTGACGGGGACAATATTCGTTTTTGCTTTTGGAAGTGTTCGAGGGACAAACAGGTACGGTATGTGGCCGATCGATCTCTCGGTGGTAAGTGGGATGCTTGAGTGCACAATTTGGTCGACAAATCGGACAGGCGTAGGCCTGGTGATGGACATGAATCTACGCTTATCACGAAAAAAACTATCAATCTTTACAATATAAACCTTTGAAACAACCGGAGGCACCGTTGTTGCATAGATTCAAACCCATGCGAACTCATTAACCAACAAACTATCCCTCTTTCAACCAATTGTGGACGATTGTGATTCTGAATGACAAGTCGAAATAGGGATGAAGAATTTTAGGTTCTGACCATTCTCATGTAAGATGACAAGCGGAATCGGTTCTTAGTAATTATAATTTGGAAGGACTCTTACTGAGATGTACCGTAATATCTGTGCTAATGCATTAAGAAGTCTAATCACCTAATTTGTCTAGCTCTGTGATTGCCTGCATTTACATAGTCTCTTCGTGAAAGCCTTGGGATAGTTGTATCTCAGAAGCACCTTTCAACAACGGTTGATGTAATTGTTGCATAGCATTCTCACTGAAAAAATTAAATTTACCTTTGGAAAAAATAGGGGTCCTCACTACAAAACATTTCACGGAACGTAACCTGTGGGTTATTTTTTTGGAAAAGCTCTCATAGCTGAAGGTATTTAATAAGCTTAAAATTTTTGAGTCGTTTTCTGTGGAAACCTACTGTTTTCCTCCCGAATTTTTCTTAGCAGTGCTGAAAGGAAATTTGAGCGATTCAAATTGTATCTCTGGTGTCATGTTTGGTATGCTTGTCGTTTTATTCCACTACAGCGACACCCGTGTGTGGCTTTGACTCACTTTTGTGGTAGATGTGGATTGTGCGTAGTGTCTGAATGACTAGCCTTTTTTTGCCGGTATTGACAGATTTCATCTCTTTAGTGTTAGGTCTCAATTGCCCACTAGTTCTCGTTATAGGATATTGAGCCTTTGTTTATTGACTTACTGATTTGTCAGCAAACCAAATGAGGTCCTTTTCTTAAGTATTTATCCCATATTGACTTTTTGTTGTTGACGTGAGTGTTGTTTTGCAGCGGCCCTCCAGCCGTCCTCCTTCGTGGGTGGCAGAAAGTATCGAAGTTCAACCAAGCGCAAGAAGACCATGTCGCTATTACAATTATGCTCTATCGCTTCCTCGATCACTCTGCTGACGTACTGGTGTGCTTTAATAACCCAGCCGTGTGAGTACGAGAACATTTATAGCTTGACGATGATGATATAACCCTCATGCACCGCGTTAGTGTCATTTTATCGAATCCCTAGGAGAGCGGGCTTGTTGGGAGCATTCCAAAGTAGCCTTGGCACACACAAGGATGCATCGAGTCCTCATGTGACTTAACTTTCGCTTTTATTTAAATATGGGACATTTGATGGTGAGGTGATGCTCTCAATAGTCTGCCACTGGCCATTTGGGCTTGTCCATCCATTGCATGGCAAAATGTCATCTGCACAACTCTGTCAATCTTTTCAGCTGTTCAAGCCTACTTTTCGTAAGCATTAGCGATTGGGTTTCTATTTGGCGGTTAGAAACACTTACTTGCTATTTGTAAGTTCCCACACCAGTTTATAAAAATGCCCAGTCGCCGATGATGCGCCTCCAGCCAGTTTAAATTTTTGGTATTAAAATAAACCGGATTCGATGTGCAGCCTTAAAATTGATTTGATACAGTTCCCGTAATTTCGACGTCCACACCGATGCCCATCCTAATGCTTCCTGATTGGTTTCAAATTTGAACCGATTTGGTGCCTATATTCAGCGTTCGTGTATATGCAAGCTTGTTATGGAATCTCTTGTCATATTGCTACGCGACCTCCACCTCTGCTTGATTAGTTTTGCACGCTCTGGCGAACAACGACGTACCATAAACAGCGTTAGCGCTAACTGGCTCCGCACGCCGCATTTTGATTGGCTGTTTGTCACATTACTAAAAGGTGTATTCGGCAGTCAACATATTTCTGGTTTTTCCGGAATCACAGCTTTTCTCGTGAAGTGGTATTGTGGCTTCTATTCGACGAGGCTACTCCTTAAGTAAATCGCTTTTGCATGCATGACCCCTTTTCTCATGTTGACCAGGCTTAATTCTAGGTGCTGAATTTAAGTTTTATTTTTACAAAGGAGGTACTTGGTGTGATCCCGCAGCGGGTACTAGGTTTCTACTCAGAAGGCGTGGTTGTGCCATCAGCCCCTATGGTGGGATAACTGGCAGCTATCTTTGTGTTCTCTGCCTATTTCATTAAGAGCCCCCAGTGATGCTTTGTGATCTAATAGTGTCGACGCCTGTTAATATGTATTGCTGTATCGTTCATTTATTAATTTAGGGTATATTTCGTATTACTTATAATCGCCCGATGTCTATGGGCTGACGCTAAAACCGATGATCATGTTCATTAATACTCATAAGCTACCTTTAAAGCCTGGAGAATGTAAATATCTCGAATAACCCCTTCGTTCTTGTTATTCTCATTCGCTCCTGAAGCTTACTCTGCCTATTGTTAGTTGTAAGGTTTGATTGCTAAAAATTGACGTAATGTGCGTTAAAAATGGACTACATGCTTGTTTCCAATGGCATTTTGCAGAGCTCAAGCGTTCACCGTATTGCCAGTGGACAGTGGCAGCCGAAACACCGTCACTTTGGTAGAGATAGTAAAAACTAAATGTAATTAGCCTAAAATCCATTGCTCATGTCTAGTACCAGTACGTAGGTTTCCAAACTTCGAACTTAATGTGGATGCTCTTGAATACCATCTTTGACCATAATCCCTCGTAGTATGTTCTCAACAAACCCGAGACTTTTTGGATCGTATCAGATAGTGTTCGTGATCTTACCATAACTCACCAGTCAGCGAATGAAGTGTAGCTGTTATATAAAAGTACATTTCCCTTGTTTTGGACCTGTGAATGAGTCATGCGCATAACAGGACTGACCAATTGCAGATGCGAGCAAATTGTTTTAAGCCCACGATTTCAACTGCACGTGCTGACTGACAGCAAAGTTTATTTGCGATGGTATGAATACAAATGCATTTCCTCAATAGCCAAATCAGTCTTCACTCTGGACGATTTGGTCCGCAGTATGGATGGAAATACATCAAGTGCCATCTTCGGTCCATGTCGCCGGCTTACGGAGATTTTATGCATTTTTTTTACCCTGATCATCAACTGTCGAATTTGCTTTCTAGGAGCCAACAACAGAGTGGAACATCTGGTTTTTGGAGGGATGAAGACGTGAACTCCTGTTTGCGCTCTCTTCGGCTAATTGATCCTCGAATTTTCGGATAACAAACATTTTCCCCTATTACGTGCACGTTCTAACTCACAAATCTACGGTTTGCGTTTCTGTGTTTTGACATAAGGTACAATGTCTTCCTTGTTTATAACTCAATCAGATATACTCGAAATTATGTACCACCAACCACCTTCTTTAATGGATAGTTTTTCTTGGCTTTAAAATTTTTGTCTTCTAGATCGTGCCCGCATAGTACTCTGGTCAACGTACTACAGTATTGATATTTAATGCATTGAATATTATTCAACTTGAGAAAATACAGGGGAAGTTGTAATTTAGCCGTAAATGTTGTGCCTTCGTAGTTGTCAGACCTTAAAAAGTACCTTTATATGAGTGAAGTCCAAGCTAGGAACGGTACTTGGCACCTTAATGGTATTTTCCAAAGACTTCATCCGTCAGCTTTTAAATCAGGTCTGGACGTTCGTAGAACTGCGTTGAGCAACAGGCAGGAATCGGCTGTTCGCTCTTGACGTGTGATTGAGTTTTCGTAGAGAAATCCACTGCCTATTCGTCATTATTGCTGACTTGTTTTATTGTCAAACAGACTTTTTGTTGCATTTGCATGAAACAGCTTACGGTGTGGTAAACTTGATAGACTCGACCTAAGCACCACTTTGAAAGCGTCATCTGGATGGGTCAGGATGGGGCTTCATGAAACAAATTACCATTTAACCTTATCCCTTGTACACATTGCCGATGGGGCGGAAGTTACGAACTGAGTTCCAATAAGGCCGTGCGCACCCTACCCTCTGTATTCGGTGCAATTTGTGCTGGTAATGCGAAGTGGTCGCTTCCCGTCTCACGTTAATTCTGTGCTCTGCGTAGAGAACCCGACGACTAAGACCTCTATGTAGTCGTTGGGATTTACCGTTGATAGTTAACCTTTGCTTCTCATTGTTATGAGTTAGAAGTGTACGTCTTCTCGACACATTCAGGGAGTGGTCTATGAGGCGAAATGTAGTCAGTTTTGTACTATTTTCTTTTAAGTAATTTTCGTGCGGCGGAAATGTTTGCTGTCATGTATTTCCACAAATAGCTCCGAGTCGAGGCGCATGCAGACTAATTTTTCTGGAATTTGGGTCCTGAATAATTCTTGTTTCCGTTTTACTGATTTTGGTTGCTTAATGCATGTACTGTACCAGCATGTCACTGTGATTTCTTGAATTAGTTGTTCTAATTTCTGGTGGAATTCGTTGTAACTTCCTTCTAAGGATAACCCTGTGGTATCTAAGCGCCTGGTTAGCTGCATTGTCAACTCATCACCTCGTGGAAATGACACCGATGGCCGAAACATTGGGAAACAAGCCAGCAGATGTCCGCTAATCGCCCACACGGGCTTGCGCGCAAACACATTCTCCTATTCGCCAGCCAATGGGAGGGACCAGGTCTCGCATGCGCACTAGAAATTTTATGTCAGTGCAATACGCACGCACACATTCGCAGTGCTACATTAGGCGGAGCAGGTGCACACGGCCGAAGAGGCGATTCCCCCATGCTTTAAGGCATTTCGCCTGAGACCATAGTATTTAAACTCCTTTCTCGGACTACCTTGACAAAGTGGGGAGTCGAAAGCTAAACAGTGAAATTCGGCAGGATTGAAGCAACGGGACCCTAAGACAACAAATACTCGGACAATGTTTTTGGTTGCCTATCATTCGTGTTTACCATAATTTTAAATTCCCATTTTTTGGGCTGATGATTTTATTAACTATGATAGCTATAGGTTATGTATTTTGGTAGGTGCTGTAGTCGAAAGACCCTTGCGTATTTCACGGATAGTCGATACTCGAATTTTGACTACAGGAAACGAAATTGTTTCTTTGACTGAAAACGTGCTCTTAGAGGTTACGCATGGGCTAAAGCAGCCGTAAAACAAGTATGTTCCCACAACTCCCCCTCGCCTCGCTGTGCTTTGGATTGGGGTTCTATCAAACTAAAGTCACCGATATACTAAGTTGAAGCTCTTTAGGTCGTCTCTCTGAAGGCTTCCTTCCAGAATTTGAACTAAGCCTTTAAGATTGACTCTTCATTAGTAAGCCGCGAAACCGTGGTTTTAATATGAGCAATTTGGTCATTTCTAATGAAATTTTAAACCTACTGAAGCGCCTAACTGCGGATAGCGAGTTGAGGCTCGTGGTCTGGCATGTTGGTGTTATCCTCTCGCACATTCCAAGATCAAGCTACGGGTAAAAATTGCAAGAGAATCCATGAATGCTTGCACTTCTCCTGAATCTGTTCCATTTTTTGAGGTGTCCACACTTGCCACTGATTTGATACTCAGTTAAGTAGGGACTGTCAGTGATTGACTTCTAAGTACGCTTTTTCCAAAGAGGGCAAACGACTGCCGCCTTTTCTTTAAATCAGTTTTGCTTTTGAAGCTAATTTTGTAGTATATTGAACTCGATTTGAATTCCTGTAGTAACAAACAAAATATGCTTATGTTAGACACTTTTCAGTGAAAATATCACATAAGAATCTAACATTATATAACATGATATCAAAATTACATATTAATGGTGAATTTGAGTTTAGGTGAGGTTTAAGTTTGGACCACCCTCATCTACCTGTACTGCTTAACACACTGCACAGTTAACTCTCACTTCGCCTTTTGTAATACTCTTTTGAAAATTTTAACGCTGCACACATGAAATCGCAGGTATGTGTTTAGTTCCAGATGCACAGACCAATCGACGCGATGCTACACAGACTGATAGTTTGTGGCATCCTCTGAACTGGTACCGTTTGCGACTGCTCGATTTGCGGCATCTACAATCTAGGCGTAAACGTCCACCGTGCATTCGAAAACTTCGACGACTACGTTTTAATTGATCTAAGACCACGGAGATTTTTTATACTTGTATTTCTTTGTCTAATCCCTTCAGCTGGTTCTAACGTGGTCGTCTGCCTTAGTTGCATGGCCACAAGTTGTGCTCCCAAAATTTGGGGGAAAACCCTAATTGTGGCCTCCAAACCAGATTCAATTTAGCGCTTGAACCTTATGTCATTTTATACTAATCATCTCTTATGCTCATTTTAAGGCTATGGAAAAATCCCTTATTAGTACAAACCAGGTTTATTCATTGTCAAGGGCGTACAGACACCTTTCCACGAAAGACTTGGGGCACCATCACTAATGACTGAAAATAGCAAATGAACTGATAATTCCTAGTGGACACCTCACGCAATTTCACATAGTAGATTTAACATTTTGTCAGCCATACCATGGTGCCTGTAGTGAAGTTATGGAGACAATCACTGGCCAGAGGTGTGACTGCTAACGGGCACGCTTTGTGCAAGAAATCGTCACCGCTGTTTGCGAGTCGGTGGTGAGTTGTGACAGTTATCAGAATCTAGTCTAATCGGACCTGAGAGGTGTGGGGATATCCCCAAGATCCAATCGGTTCGGTGATGGGTGCGAATCTTACTGCGGCCATGGTGAATATTAAAAGTGAATAGGATATTATCTCAAAACCAGAACCTGACTCAAAGAATGCTTAGCAGTAAAATGTTTACCCCGTTGTTCTTAGGGAAGTCTTACAGGTATTTGAACTTGAAAAAGTCCCTCCGGGATGAATTTACTTTAACAACTAAGAAAATTGCAAAAAACTCATATTTTTTGAAGGCTAGATGACGAATTGCATAAGAATAGGTGTCAGTATGAGAACATTAGCGTCCAATCGAGCTAGTTTACTGCACTCTTTGATTTCTGCAGTGCCAAGTCAGTAGGTCTTCTGAAATCCTGGTCTGCATAGGTTTACACTCATATTGTGAATTCATATCCTTTATTCAAATTATACTTATTACCGCAAATGCATTCGATACTTATCGCCTAAATTAAGCTCCATAGCAGTAAAGATCACATTTACAGTCCAAGTCTAAAAATACACTAACTATTCACAACACTTAAATTAAACAATCAAACTTTTCAAGACAGCAAATCACGCGTGCCAGAAAATTGCTCATACCCATCAAAGAACTGATGAGGTTAGATCGTTTGGACACTTATTTGTGTACACAACATTTTGGTTCTACCAGAAGGCACCATGTGACACCACAATGTTTCCTGGCCTACACCGTTGCCCTCTACATAACAATTCTTAGAAGTCTTGAGAGCTTTTCATTGCACTGACGTGGAATCTCAGACTAAGAACGATGGTGGGCCGTCAAACAGGAGGCCTCATGATCAACTAGTACGGCCTCTGGCAAACGTTGACGAAGCGGTTAGTGCTGTAGTTCGACTTTTGCGTCATGCCATGAGTGTCTACTTTTTGGCAGCCTCAACTTATCTTGAGATAAATTTACGAATGCTAACACACTCAGGGTATAGTAAAAGCCATGTTTGCCTTCATACGCATGGACCGGATCCGAATGCGCTGTAGGGTGAATCACTAGATGGATTTTTCCCTACGTCCAAAAGTGGTCAGTTATATAGAGACCTGAAAGTAACACTTACCACTGTGTGGTATGGCAATGCTGCTGAGATTTGCGACATCGACCGAATGCTTAAGTAAGTCAAACTGACAGATGTTTGTCAAAGGACGGGCTTTACCCCACTTTAATTTTAAGGATAACAGTAAATTAGACGATGGAATTTATGAACAGTACATCATGTCACTGTGTTTGTGTTGCAAGTTGCTCTCTGAACCGCTCAAAACAGCAAAACCGGTATTTACGTTCAAAGCACAAATACAGTTACAGCATGAGTGCAAAAATAAACACAGAATATCATATCTCAAATACCAAGTTGCCTTTTAATTTAACATTTGTACTCCTGACACCAATGACTTTTGCAGGTTTCTGGCTCCAAAAATTTGACCGATCGGTCCAATTTTTCATTCAAAAATCGACATGAACCTATTTCTTGAGAAATTCGGTTTTCCATTTTCAGCCTGGACCGGTTTGTAACTAATCATTCTAAAGTAAAAATTAGATGGCTTGTTAAATATATTAGTGTAGTGCTCGTTCAATCAAGTTTAAAATTTGAAAAAGTCTG